TTTCAAGTTGATTTTAGATAGGTACATATGAAATATTGCGGACATGATAAGAATAGACTTCGTGTAGATATGCAAAATCGAACCCGTGATCATATGTTACATACTCTTGTTATTTATTATTATCCCACGGTTTTGTCAGGTAATTTCAGAACAACCTGTATAAATTGCGTTAATACTGTTGATAGCGTTGCAAAACACGCAACATTGGTTTCATTTCTTTCTAAATTAAGTCAATCTTCTAGACATCTAGACTATTTTGTATAATATAGAATGCCCGGCGCATCCACCAAAAGTTTATTATTATGTTGTCGAATAGCTTTTCATTTCTGTCACTTTAGAGGTGAAGTGTTGTCATCTCGTATGCAAAGGTGTACTATCCATTATAATTTCAGTCAGTTTGGTTACGCCACGAAGAGACGAATAAACAGCACCTTAATTCAATATACAAGTTTACCAGAATAAAAAAATTTACCATGAAACATTTTACTTCCTAGTCAGATAAATAAATGATGAAAGAGTGCTTTCTTCGTGACACATACATTTCAGAAGGATTAAAGTAAAAAATCAATTTAAATAACTATAGGTGTATTGTAATTTAATACCTACCTTACGTAAAATAAAAAAAGTTACACAATCGGTGGGGAATTATAGTACTAAACCACCGATGCTTCTGGAGTTTTCCGATGGCTTAACAGAGCTAGGGTGAATTTTAGTTTAATTTAAGTTTCAATCTTCTGGAAGTGTACTTATCATTTAATACCTCTCACGACCATATCCGCATAATACTTGCAAGTTAAAAAAAAATTAAAATATACAACGTGTAATTATACAACACGCTACTGGAGTGAAACTTCTTCAAACACACATACAAAAGGGGTTAAGGAATTGGTTTAATGGTATTATTTTTGCACTATGCTTCACATAATATATACTGTAGAATGCCTTTATATACAACAATCACAGCTTTTTTGTCATTAAACAATACAAAGCGGCCGCCGGTACCGCCGCAACCGCTATGTCCCTGCATTTTAACTCTGTAATATCTTCGAAAATATTCATTTAAACTGCATGCTGCAAAGGACCATATTGATCTATATTAAATGCACAATGTATTTAAAAGTACTTAATTGGATAAGGATTAATGCTGTATTGCCTAAAATCACTTCGTAAATAAGCCATTATTTCTCGTAAAAAGTAAAGGATAAAAAGTGGTTATTGTGGCTTATCCCTAAGAGATAGACATATACCATCCCGGACTTTTTTGTAGACCTTTTTAAGATATACAATACTATAGTATATTATTTTGATCTATCTCGTAGGGTTGAGCCAGCGTTTGCAATGTAAGCGCAAAAAATGTGTTCATTTACGATATCACATTAGAAACCTCTAAAATTATCAGTGTTTCTCTATTATATTATGCATGTATTAAACGTACAAACCTTCCTCTTGAATTACTCTATCTATTAAAGAAAACGGCATTAAAATCCGTTGCGTAGTTTTAAAGATCTAAGCATACATAGGGACAGACAGGGGGGGAAATACGTTGCATGATTTCGTTACATAGCAACTCGCATGAAACGAACTTACTCTACCGTGCGTAAAGAAGTTTCACTTCAAAAAAGGGAAATGCGAAGATTAGCTCTGGACAGAAAAGAGTGGAGGTGCGTGTCCAACCAGTCTTACGACCTTATGATGATGATAAGAGGAAACTGGAATTGTAATATGTCATTTCTGTAGTAATTACCTAATGTGGTTTATGTTGCAACGTCTTATTTATCCCAAGTTTCCATAAATGACAATATACTGCCTTATTTCAGGGTTGAAAGAAAGTTTATGATTGTAGAATGTTTAAGTTTAATTATGGTTATTATCCTCTTTAGTAATGCGTTTGGTTGGCAACAAACTCATTAGAATATTAAGAGGGTCAGCCTTTTAGAGTTCAATGAAACATTTCCTACTTCCGTGATCGGTCTATGATTCCGGAATTTCAACGGGAATGAAAAGGAAATTTATTCTAACACACCCGCGTTTATACCTGCTAAAACGTTCTTAATTAAGCTGATCAACCACTCCCATCCGAGAGTCAAGTTATGTACATTTTATCGCTGTTGGTGTGTTAAATATCTACCAAAAAATAAGGCCTTATGATAAGTTCACACCTTTATAATAACGCAGGCTTAACTTTTGAAGAAGATTAATTTAATTTCTGTTTAGGGTTGTGCTTATTTTGCACGTATTAGTTACATGTATGCATAATACAGTGGCACCTCGGAAAACAGAAAATTTTCCAAAAAGGATGCATGTCAAATCAAACAAATTCTAATCTAACAAATAATCATACAGATGGATAGCAATGTCATAACGTTTAAGCTAAAATTAAAATTAGATGAATGAATGCCGTCAGTTGATGGCCACCACCCCCGAAGGTGTTGGGGTGGGGGGATCATAAGAGGAGGTCTCCCCCACCACTGNGAAAGAAATATTTCAATGACGTCTTAGAAATTTATCAAGACATCAAAAGGATCGCTTTTCGTGAAACAAGTTCTCATTTCCGGAAAAGCGGACCTTTCAATAGTTTGACCAAATTCTGAGGCTCAATGTAGTTTTTAATAAGCTGATGATGATGATACTGGCCGCGAAAGCCTTTACCAATTTGAATTTTTTTAATGATCCAAAATTGATAAAAATATAAACAAATGTTAAAACAATCAACTTTCAACCCCCATAACTTTTTATGGTGGTGAGACCGCCGCAAATTTTTTATGGGGTTTTACTCAGGTGACCACCCTCTTTAGATCCCCCCGCCCCACCCCCCCTTCGGGGGTGGGTACCATCATTTTATTTGAATTATACTGTATGAAAATTGTCAAAATAATCAACTTTCAACCCCCATAACTTATTATGGGGGTGAGACCGCCGCAAAGTTTTTATGGGGTTTTACTCAGGTGACCACCATATTTCGATCCTCCACCCCCGAAAGAGGTGGGGGGTAATCATCTAACTCTCATAACTTTTTATGGGGGTGAAACCGCCACGAACTTTTTATGGTACAGTGGTGGGGGAGACCTCCTCTTTCGATCTCATCCACATCCACCCCTTTCGGGGGTGGGGGCCATCATCTAGACCTTTACCAAACTTTTTAATTGTTTAAATGCTGGTATGCAACGGAAGAAAAAGTAAGAAAAGAGCGAATATAAATATAGGAGACGAAAAGTTAGAAAAGGAAGCTGATTTTAGGTATATAGGAAGTCAGATAGTAGTTATATATAGCAGAGGATTGTGCAGGATCGAGTCGCTTTCAATAAAAAAAAATCACTTCTATGCTCGCGAACGGTTAATTTAGAAATTCGAAAAAAATTGTTAATGGTGTTGTCACTTTTACACCATCGTAATTTGTTGATATCATAGAAATATCGTCCGTGTAAGACATTGTCCAGATTGTTTTTCTTCCTACAACTATTCTTCCTTATCGTACCTTACATATCTCCAATTATAAATCACTTAAGTATACATATATTAAATAGTTGTACATTTAACTTACATTTCTATTATTCTATCCAAAATGTTTTTGTGTCCCTATACAGAATTAATATTTGTTTTTCGATTTTTTTAAACAAATATATCCCTATCATTGAAAAACGTTCCCTTTCAGTTGTCTCATTTAATATCCTCAGGAATACGCAGTGAATCGCTTATTACAAAAACTGCACATGCTACATACATACCTTCTAATTTTAAGTGAAGGTCAACAACGCTTAAAAATATAATAAAGTTTTAAAAATCGACTTCAGGAAAACATCGTAAAAATAAATAAGAAAGTATTTTAATTATATACTACACATATCTAGTTTAGAAACACAAATTGCAGTGTGAGGTCAGGGTAATAGATCTGACATCAGGATCCCCTGGTGCATACAATAGATAAAACATACTCCAATTTTTTGTGTATTGATGTAAGTACTAATAAATAAAGTTCATCCTAAATTTGGTATATCTGATTAATAAAATACAACATATTGAAGTTTTTCTCTTCGTTAATATTCGTAGGGAATGTCTCCAAAACAGATTTCATGCAAATTGGGGAGATGGTGGAATTAATTATTAGAAGAGGCTCAAAAGTAATTTAAGGTGGTGAAACTAGTGACCCGCATTAAGTGCCCTATCATTTGACCTGAAACGTCTTTCTCTCTCTATTTTCTGTTAAAGTTATAATTGTTTTAATGTGACATACTGGTTCATTACAGAGGATAGTCAAGTTGATATAAAGAGTTATTTAGTGTTTTTGTACATAGTTTATAAAACAATGCTTAAGTAATATCTACCAGGGGAGCAACAGCGTTACAGTTTGACTAGGTGCTCCCATCATAATACTATAAATTATTAAAAAAAAAGGTCACCAATATAATTTGAACCGAACTTTCAAGTTGGGTTTTTATCTGGAATAAACCGTGGACCCCTCCTTGTTGCGCCCCTGATGTCTACATTATACGAAGTTTGTGTTATAGAGAGTTAACACTGTATTTGCCTACTATCTACATTATTTTTGGTCGCATCTTTTTTCGAGAAATTATTAATCGAAGGACTTGAAAAGAATGGAATAATTATTTCATCTTTACCAAAATAATATGAAAAATTAAGATTTATTTCTAAAAATGATTCCACAATTTTGGTTTACATTCTTACACCTGTTATGTCGCAATAAAACTTGCACATTGGTAATTTTCCAAACTATTTTACATGAAAATCTACCAAATATTTTGTTAAACTTGTAGAAAACACGCACTAATTTATTACGTGAAATTCGTTGAATACAGACGTTTCATAAACAAACTGTTGAATATTTATTGCATAATAGAATGCACAAAATGTTCAAGCACGAAAAACATCAAACAGTTTTTCTAAGTATATTCTCAAATTGGACACGATCATCTGCTTCGAAACCTTGAAAACCATTTGAACTGCGAAAGAGCGAAGAACGAAAGTTTAATTTTAGGACTTACCTCATACGTATAAGTTTGGGAGCAAATCTTTGAAACCACTTGCAGGTTTTCGATCACTTTTTCAGTGCATGGGCAACCACAGGTAGCACAGAACATGTTGAAGACACCACAAAAGGTTTTAATGCAATTTTTTTATTATTAATTTTTTTGAATTCATCAAGACTCTTTTAGGTATTGTATTTATCGACACAATTAGTAACGTATGTTAATTATTAGCCTCTATTTTTTGCACTCACGGGAGAATTTCAGCGCTGACTGAGCATACTAGTTGTTGAAAAATTGGCAGTTCATGAGACAACGGGTCTGTGAATGCAGTTTAAAATTAGACATGATTTTGTACAATTTTACTACATGAACTTGTGTGTTTTAGCAGTTATTTGAAAATATGTAGGCTGAATGAGAAATGTGGCCTATTTTTTTTGTTTACATTTATATCCGTTAGGGGAAACCGGGGATGTTAGACCAGTTATGACGTTTGTATTCTTATTGTTTTAGTATATATTATCAGTAATAACCAATACATTTGATATACACACTATTAAACTTTGGAAAAAAACAACAAGAAACTCATAATCAATTATTACATGGTGTAAAAGCCTGATTTTATAGAACCAGAAATATGAGTCAACTTATCCCCAACAAAATCTAGGTTGAGAAATACAAGAAGTATCAACAATTATCAAAAATGCCGATCCTGATAACACAACAAATGTGCAAAATGGTTTTTTGAAAGTATTTAAAAACAAAATGCAAATACTTTTTTGATTTGTTATTTCAAATGTAAAACACAAAACAGATTCCCTTTTTATTTTAAACTAGTGACCCGCCCCAGCTTCGCACGGGTGCAATGCTGCAATGCAATCTATATTAAATGCACAATGTATTTAAGGTACTTAATTGGATAAGAATTAATGCTGTATTGCCTACAATTGCTTCGTAAATAAGTCATTATTTCTCATAAAAAGTAAAGGATAAAAATGGTTATTGTGGGTTATCCCTAAGAGATAGACATATACCATCCCGGACTTATTTGTAGACCCTTTCAAGATGTACAATATTGTAGTACATTATTTTGATCTACCTCGTAGGGTTACGACATCACATTAGAAATATCTAAAATTATCAGTGTTTCCCTACTATATTATGCATGTATTATACATATAAACCTTCCTCTTGAATCACTATCTTTTAAAAAAAACCGCTTCCAAATCCGTTGCGTAGTTTTAAAGATTTAAGCATACATAGGGACAGACAGCGGGAAAGCGACTTTGTTTTATACTATGTACTGAT